CTCCCTTAGCTCAGTCGGTAAAGGCACAGCTACAAAGCAAGACCATGCTGGAGGTAGCTGGGTTCGATTCCCGGTCTGGTCTAGGAATTTTTCGGGTTGGAAAATTTCTCGACTTCCCTGGGCATAGAAGTATGATTGGACTTGTCACACAATTATACCAATGCAAAAATGGTACAGGCATCGAAAGCTCTCAATTAATAACTGTGGAAGTGCATCTAGAACACTAAGTTGAGAGCACGCTATAAGCTAATATGCGATATGCAATAAGCTTGAAATTCAAAGAAGAAGAAGAAGAAGAAGAAGAAGAAGAAGAAGAAGAAGATGTTAGTTGATGGGAATTTTGAAGGAGTTATCAATCTCATTGAAAAAAGAAACAATTGTAGTTCGCCAAAACAGAACACCTCATTTCTCTAATTGATAAAACTGTTACATAAGACTCAATCAAAAAGGACTCCAGTAGGGTAGAGAACTATTTCGGCCTAATCGCCCATTTTGAGCCTATCGAGCAGAAAACTTCAAATAAATCCATGATTTCAGAGTTAACAAGTCAATTATGCGTTTGGTACGATACTTCAGTTAATAAGCTACCGAACGAAGTCAATGAGAACGCGTGATATGAAGGTTTGCACCCATTATTCCCAAAAACAAAAGAAGCGCTCCGACCGAATCAATTTTTATCATCATCCGATAGGCCGAAGTGAATTCAGTGGCGTTTCAATGGCGTTTCAATGCGTTAAGCCGAGTTTAGAATCTGTAGGCCGAGTTTGGCGTCAAGAAGCAGTGTTAGACTTTTGACAATATCTCAACGATTGGTTTCTCTTTATCAAATCTTACGGTACGTACGGAAAGGTAAATAAATTTGGAAGCCATCGATGATAATAAAATTTCGTTTGGTGCTAAACAGCGCTAGATTAAGAAAGACTAAGTGCGGGTTGTGCTGAATAGGCCGGAAATGGGGTAGTTAACCCTAATTGTTTTTTTTTTGTTCCACGTGCCAAAACAGGAACCTATATCTAAAGAGGCTGAATTAATAAAAATACGACATGTTAAAATTAGAACAATCGATTATCTGTCAAAGTCATAGGAAAAGTTATTCCAATCGAGCAGAAGACCTGTCAAATGCATAAGATATCGCCTCTTCACCCAATTCAGTCTATTTACTATATCATGCTGATCATTGCCTTAGGTCCTATGTAACATTGAACGATTCTCTTCGTCGACTTCCTCTTTCGTTAATAACATGAGCACATAACAGTTTCTTGTCGTGTTTCCCTAATGAAATTATAATGATTATTTTGCTTAACGACGTGCACGGGGTATCGTTCGTTTAAAAAACAAAAAAAAAAATCGGTAAAAGCTTCTTTTACCGATCTGTGTGTTGACAATACCTGGGAATGTCTGTACATGGCCGTGGGGATACATACGTTTAAGGAATTGGTTGCCTACGAATACTCCCAGAAGGACAAGTACTCCTCATGGGCTTCACCACACTTGTCGCACTACTGAAGGAGCAAGAATAGCAGCAGCAGCGATCATAAACGGAAATCATCTGCCAACATCGGCCAATCAGGAAGGAAGCAGCGGTATAGGTGGTTCATCACTTATGAGAACACAACCGTGGACGGTAGTGGTTCTTCGTGAGAAGCCCCGGTCTATCTGCGGCATCACCAAAGCTCCAATACACCGTTGGGCAGTTTACCGGGAACGATCATGCAGCAGCAGGACATATCCAGAACAACATGTGAAAAGGGCATACAAGCTTATTGTAAACAAACCTTCTTATGCCCTTTTCTCGCCACCCATATGACACCAACGCAAACCTTTAACATCGCCGGGTAGGGACACTTTCCTCTTCCCAATAATATTGCTGGTTTGCGTGGGCGACCTTCTGTTGGCGAGAAAAGGGCCTACAAAGGTTTGTTTACAAAAAGCTTATATGCCCTTTTCACATGTGGCGCTTGATATGTGCGCAGAGAGACTGTACAAAACATACAGTCTCGTGATTCCGGCGCCAGCACACAACGCTTTTAGCAGACAGGTTATTCCGACGCATCCGCTTCCGGTGCACATCCAGTTCACGGCGCAGTTTAGCCAGTTTGGTTTGCATAGGCGGGCTCAGATTGCCAACACTACTTATTCATCTCCGTGTAGATCTTCAGAATAATAGCTGCTCATCCTGAAGTCTTGAACAAAATTTCAGATAACTTTCTTAATATCTTTGATATCCTGAAAGACTTTGTAATAGTATCTGACCAGCCTGGTAATATGAAAGATACTATTTGAATGGTTGGAGAATTCAAGATCTTCAGAATAAAACCTGACCATCCTGAAGTCTTGGAAAAATAGGCAGAGGACTTCATTAAGACCTTTGATCACGCACGGCCAGAACATTCCCACCTTGTGTAATAACTGATGAAAACAAAACACGACCGATAATTTGGCACTCCTACCGTGGTGCAGGCATACGAACTATTGCAATTTACCGTTCCGATTCAAATTTCGGACGATTCAAATTTCGGACACTTTCATTTTTAATTAAATATTACATCCAGTTAGAAACAAAGTAATAAAGTTAGATGATCGTGGAGGGCACTAGTCAAAAAAATTTAAAATTTACAAGACATGTGGATCATATTCGACCGAGATAATCAACGGAAATTCGAGTTTAAGTGTCTGAAATTTGAATCGGCACGGTATTGATATTTGATAGGGATTTAATACACCACAGAATATGGTACATTGATTCCACTACCAACAGCAGCTGTTTGTTGTTGTTCACACTTAATTGACGTTTGCACAAACAATCTTGGATATCCTGAAAGTCCTTGGAATTATTTCTGAGCAACTCGATATCATGATAAAGATATCAGTGACGTGCTTGAAGAATATTCAGTTTAAAACGCTGTCCAGACTGGAGAGTTATAACATGTTATAACGGTTGTCAAATAATTTCAATACAGAAACCACCATCAAGATAGCGCTATAACATGTTATAACTCTGTAGTCTGAACGTACTATAAGGTAGGCAGCTAGGGGTTACAGATGGGGCGTAATATTCTAGAAGAAGAATCATAGTTGTAATAAGAATTCAAGAGCCGGGTACGGATGTCGTTAGCGGACAATTCTCGCGTTAATTTTCACATTAATCGATTCTCTTCACCGAATTGCTCTTTCGTAATATATCTCGGCTACAACAACGTTTCATGTCGTCTTTGTCGTATTAGATGCTACATTTTTGCTTCTACCATCGAACTGTGTGTCGAAAATATCCGAAAATATCTTATCACGGACACGATTCAAAGAGAAAGATGGTGAAGAGAATCGATCAATGTAGATAGGACCTATTGAAAAGTGACGCGAGAATTTCTAATCCTGTTTTTTTATACAAATGAAATTTGTTGTGCATGTGTGCGTGTGATAGCGGAGAGAGCCAGATTTTATTTTGGCTGCGTACTTTTATAAAATCTCGGATTTTCTTGAATTGCCCGAAATCGGGGTATTAAAGTGAAATCCGAGAATTAAATTGAGGAAATTTTAGCTCCTCCTACTCTCCTCCACAAATAACGTATGCATGGTGTTGGGAGTGCACCTGCCCACAAAGCTCACATGACTCTTAGAAAGTTTGATTAAATTCTTGTTGCAGCAATTCGTAGCCCAGTTTTGGCATTATTATTAATATTAAATAAAAACACTTATTCGAGCATCACGTTCGATAATTTACTTTTTCCGCCTACTATGGTTGATGTTTCGACAGTTTCATAATTATAATTCTTAATTTGTTTTCAGTAGGTGGCATTATATAGGTATTATAATTCTTAATTTGTTTTCAGTAGGTGGCAATACCTTTACCTTGTGCTTCAAACAGTAACTACCTACATGACTTCTGAGCTCTTTTGAATGTTTGGCTCCCGTTTGACAGTTCGAATCGGCTCCCAGATGACAAGCATTTTGAGTTAGTTCGCAGTACTCAGGTGGAAATTAACGATTTTAAATTGGTTCACTACTTGACTAGCCTATTGGTCCCAAGCAAATCGATTAACGTACCCCATTCTAGTCGAAGTTCTAGTACTACACTATGTTTGTTTTGATTCGCTATGAAAGTTTGACAGATAAAATGAGAGGTTCGTGGATTTTCCTATGTTTCGAGGGGTGCACCGATTAGCATGGGACCGAAGAGATTACTAGAGCTGAGCCAAAAAGTTGAGCTCGTTTCTTTGAGACCTTCTGGTATTAGAGTTACCTCTATGGTATTATCCTCGATAGAGCTTACCGCAATAAGGGGCCTAAGGGGTCGTTGGCAATTATCCACGGGCCATACAAATTTAAAAAAAAAATGTGTATGGACAATTGTCTACGCAGGGGGATGGGCGGGTCAATAATCCTAAAAAAAATGTATACGTAGTTAATGAACAGCCACTAAGCAAACACTTTGCGGATTATCCAAACAGGGACGGTATTGAAAGTTAATCCGAGTTGGAGCTTACCGCCGTAAATGTTCAATTTATTTCATCCTTGATTAGCTAGTTAAATTTACGAGCTTAAAATCACCAAAACAATTTATTATGTTCACACAGCTGCCCAAAATGCCACCTTCATTACATTTCCATCAACTGGTCACCCTAGGCCGCTAGGAAAACCGAAAAACCAAAAATCGCTCCCTCTTAAGAATCGCAACATCGCCCATCCGCACACCGGCCGATGTGCGATCACGCATTCATACTGGCCGGCAAACGTAGGAGAGGTAAAAAATCCAACCGTCTCAAGGTTTTTTTTCCCCGGCTGAGGATCACCACACTTTTCACGTCTTCGTTTTTGCTGGCTGCCTTGAGACATCGTTTTCTCTCCCGCTCAGTTTCAATCTTTCGGTTCGCGTGACCACAACGATTTTTCCGCCGGTTTGTGTCCACTTTGACGAAAAATAAATAATACAAATAAAAAAAAAAAATACACGGAAAAATTGTCGACGGCATTTTTTTCTCGCGCCTCTGATTGCGTGCAGTGGAATGTAAAAGTCTGGTGGCTGGATTGAGGCAGCAGCTTCCCGGTTGAATTTTGGTCTCGAAATCACACGTGGTAAGCGGTTATCCCCTTAGATTCATTTTTTTTTCATTTGTGCGTAAATGACAATCCCCTCCACCTGGCGTGGAGCCGTGCTTAACGTGAGAGCATTCAAATTAAATATTTATGTCGGTGATCCTCAAATTGAATTTCATCAAAAGTGAGAAGCGGACGGCAATCATCACTCGTCGCTTTTGAGCTTTGCATAGTTGCACATGAAGGAGAAGATAAAAAAAATGGAAAACGCAATATAATTTTATTTTTCGCTTCTGCAGTTCAATGTTTTCGATTCAAATGTTGATTTCAGTTGATGGGGCACAAATGTGGGATATTATGGTGGGAATTTAATCGAATTAACGGCTTTTTTTCGCAACCATTCGGATTCGAAATCGTTTCAATTAATGTTGCTGATTTTTTATGCTTTCTCATTTTTTTTTTTTGCAGGACAACGACAATTGCGGCGACGGTGCCAATCGAACCGACAATATGTCCTATTATTTAAGGTTAGTTGGTGGTTAATCTACAGGAAGTGAAGAAGAACGAAGCGTTGATTGAAACATGTTGAAGCCCTTGTAACGAAAAAAAAAAATGCTAGTTAAAATAATCAAGCGAGTAGGATAAAAGAAAATAATAATTGGATTTGTGTTGTGTCGTCGTGTCTGAATATGTGATTGATTGATTGTTTTGTCTACATTATGTAGATGTGATAGAACATGTTGTGTGTTGAGATTAACAGCCGATGATTGAAATCCATGATATTGATCGTCAGCTAGGGAACACGCATTAATTCCGTCAAGTATATAGGGGGAGAAAGGTGGTTTTATAAAATGTGACCAAATGTGACAAATGGGGGAGGAAGGGTTTGTTCAACCGAGACGTAACATCACCATATATTATAGTTTTAATTTGTGAGATATAATAGCATGAGTACTAAACCTGTTTATTTTAACAGAAATGTCGGGTCAACCGTGATTACTGTTCGTCATGTTAATTTGAACTTCTGAGCGAATTTTCAGCAAAATCGGTGATGATGTAGAGGTGCTTCAAGATAAATTTATGTTTTTAAGGTAATTTACGGTTTAAAATATTTGTATCTCGAGACTGAAACAACGTAAACTGCTGTAACAACTTTCATAGCAAAGTATAATGTGTTATCTACCAACTTTAACATAGATTGAGAGATAAAAATCATAAAAGAGGCCGATATAGCTAAAGTTCACAAGACAACAGAGCCAATAACAGTTTAATTTAGATTGAAAGAACCTAGTTGCATTGCTTTTTAATGACGACCGATGACTGTTTCATTGATAGTTGATTTTTTTTAGAAATGAGAATTCTCAGTAGACGCGTTTTTTTTATCAAAGGCAAGTGTCATGAGCCATCCAAAGTGTTCGTTGTTTATAAAGCCTTTGAGTACATTAAAATGAGAGAAATTTACAAAAAATCACAAAATTTTAACATCGATGCTATCACCCCAGCAGGCCTGGGTTCAACCCTAGTCGGCGCCGCCGGCATGTTCTGAGGCAAACATCTCTGATCACGCCTTCCTTCGGAAGGGAAGTAAAGCCGTTGGACCCCGGTTCATGAGTTGATGAGTCGATGAGTCGATAGATAGATTTGAGTTAAGGGATCTTTCTTCGTAGTTCACGTTTTAAAAAAGAACTTTTAATGCTAACACTATTTATTACCGATGGTACACGGTACACATTAGGATGGGTCATCATGATCATTTTTTTCAGAACAATGTTTTTTTTTTGGTTCTAAACAACTGTGCAAAATTTGGGGACGATTGGTTGTCACCCGGCTTTCTGAATACGTTTGAAATTTGTATGGAGATTAGTATGGGAAAACCTACTTTTTTGCATCTTTAGTACAAGGGACCACAATTTTGCACAAACCACGCATCTTAATACGTTGAAGTATAGTCCATGTAGTGCCTAACAACTTTGCTAAAGGATGTGTGGTGCTAGAATGCCCCTAAAAAAGTTATAGCTGTTCAAAGATCAATGTTTCGAATTAAATGCCAAAAATCCCTTTTTCTGCCAACACTGCCGGTGTAGCAATGAAAGTCAGACTCTAAACTGAAATAACTTCGGAGTTTCTTATCTTATCGATTTGGTATGTTCAGATGAATTATTCACAAACAATTTTTCAATCTCATCTCGCCATGCTCACTCATATAAATGGAAGGAAAGCTTCAAATTGCAATAACTTCGGTGTTTCTGATCTTTTTAAGTTGGTTTGTTAAGATGTATTTAAAAACATGTGCTTTATTTAATAGGCGTAGTTAGATATGGGGGACTTACTGTATGCTTTCCGGTCCTCACTTATATCAATGAAAGTGTAGATAAATACTAAAATAACTTCGGAGTTGCCCATCTCTTGAGTTGTTCGAATGGGTTATTCAAAAACAGTAGCTTAATCTCATAAAAGCAGTTGTAAAGCGAGAACCCCCATTCCCTTCCCTACTCTTTTGGTGCAATATAGAATGTCAGATACATCCACCCAAATATCATTGGATTGTAATGATTATATTTCATTTTAATATATTCTACGATTTCTCATGGTACTCTTTTCGATGCTGTTCTATCCCCTGAAGCAAATATTGCTGTTGAACTAGGTCTCGGGTGGATCTCTTGATAAGTCAGAAATTAGCTTCAGCCCGCATTTAGGCAATCATCAAGGAAGCAACTCGTTATATCGCATTGAAATAATCTGTATCATTACACCTCATTTGCCGGTTTTTGCATGAAGCCGGTCGAAATTTCGAAAAGGAATCAGCGTGTCTGAGACAAAACTGGTGAAGACAGTTTTCGTTTTCTCCTGTTTTTGGTTTTTGACGTACGGTGGTGGTGGTGGTGCATGGCAGTTTAATGTTTTAAACAAAAACTTTATATAGAAATAATATAGCAGTTAGACTAATATTTCAAACAACATCTCCTCACTAACAAATTATTATTATTATTATTATTATTATAGTCCATCTGACTTGATGGTCTCAATGAAACACTTCAATCTAAATGTAGTCACTCATTAAAAATTAAAAATTGGCCGACAGCAAACGATGACGAAACCTGAAGGCATTGATGTCAAAGTCAAATAGGTTGAATTGATGAATCATGGCGACAAAGGAACTGTTAACAGCATAGTTGGTTGCAAACGGCGCCGGTGGTGTAGTGGTAAGCGTGATTACCTCTCACCCCAGCAGGCCTGGGTTCAATCCCAGTCGGCGCCGCCGGGATGTTCTGAGGCATAACATCTCTGATCACGCCTTCCTTCGGATGGGAAGTAAAGCCGTTGGTCCCCGGTTCATGAGTTGATGGGTCGATAGGTAGGGTCCAGGTGTGGGAGCTGCCTTCCTGGCACGTCGGTAGCATTGGTGCTCAGCACGGAAAACAAGATCGACGGAAAAAAACAAACCAAAAAAAAAGGAATAGTTCGTTGCATGTACTACTTCATGTAGCAAGATTCTCGAACGGAGTGTTCGGGCAGGAACATACAGAATTAGTTTTGGCCAGTAACTCAGGAACATCATATTCTGCGAGCAAAACTTTAGCAACGAAGACGACCTGCGATATGTTTCGTCGCTTAGCAAGAGTATCCAAACCCAGTAAACGACAGCGGTCAGCATACGGTGGTAAATTCAACGGGTCACTCCATGGAAGATAGCGCAGTGCGTATCTGACGAATTTGCGTTGAACAGCTTCTTGATGGGGATTCCAGATAACACACACAAATTCCAGTAGTGAGCGTACCAATGAACAGTAAAGGGCTTTAAAACAAAGAGGATCACGAAATTCCTTAGATATCTTGAACATGAATCCAAGCTGGCGATTAGCTTTGTCGATCGTGGTTGAGAAGTGGCGAGTGTTTGTGAGCTTTTCATCCAACATGACACCGAGGTATTTAACGTGATCGACACGTTTAACTGCAGTCCCAGCAACGTTATAATCAAACAAAACGGTAGTCCTAGTTCGACGGGAACTAATTACACAGCACTTTGAGACGCACAGGACCATGCAATAACGTTCACACCAATCATTATAGATTTCAAGAAGGTTTTATAGTTCTAAACAGTCGGCATAGCCTGGAACGACTAGATAAATCTCCGTCATCGGCAAAAAACAATTTACCTCCACGTAGTAGAATAAACGTTACATCGTTCACAAATAAAGAGAAGAGCAGTGGTCCCAAAGTGCTACCCTGTGGAACTCCTGATCTGTTCGAGAAACAGTACGATGAGTAGTTTCCAATGCATACAGTAACTTCACGTTGCACGAGGTACGATCTTCTGCCAGCTGCAGAAGGATACAGAACGTCCAATTTTTCCAAGCTCTGATAGCAGAACGTCGTGCACAACTCTATCAAACGCAGCTTTAAGCATCAGTGTAGATGGCATCCACTTGAAGTTTCTTGCATACATTTTCCATACAGAACGACGTAAAGCTGACGAGATTAGTTTCCACGGAGCGGCCAGGAAAGAAACCATGTTGACATGTACTTATGTAATGCTTGCAGGAAGCAAACAATCTCTCATTTATCAGCGACTCAAACACCTTAGATTCAACTCCAAGCGAGGTAATCCCACGGTAGTTTTCCACATTGCGTTTGTCTCCTTTCTTGAAAACAGGGAACATAATAGACCGTTTCCATAGTGCGGGAAATTTCTGTTGACAAAGTGACAGGTTGAAGAGCAAGGACAACGGAGCAGCTAAGATATCGGAGCATTTTTTTTTTTAGGACAGCAGATGGAATTACACTCGGACCTGATGAAAATGATAATTTGGTTTTACTCATCACAGAGAGAACGATTTGTACATCTACGGCAAAAACATCCATGTTGACGACGTCGGTTGGCACATCACGGACGGCTCGCTCAATCTCTGCTTGCGATGGGGAGTCATTCGTGAAGACGCTTAAGAAGTGCTTAAGCTTAAATTAACGGACAAGTAGATATTAAATATTTACACTACAACAATTTTCGTTTTAAAAACTGCATATAGTAAACCCCTTACCCCCACTACGCTTATGAGATTGAGCAAATGTTTTTGAATAATTCATCTGAACATACCAAATTGATAAAATAATAAATTTCGAAGTTATTTCAGTTAACGGCGCCGGTGGTGTAGTGGTAAGCGTGATTACCTCTCACCCCAGCAGGCCTGGGTTCAATCCCAGTCGGCGCCGCCGGGATGTTCAGAGGCATAACATCTCTGATCACGCCTTCCTTCGGATGGGAAGTAAAGCCGTTGGTCCCCGGTTCATGAGTTGATGGGTCGATAGGTAGGGTCCAGGTGTGGGAGCTGCCTTCCTGGCACGTCGGTAGCATTGGTGCTCAGCACGGAAAACAAGATCGACGGAAAAAAACAAACCAAAAGGAAAAAGTTATTTCAGTTTGAAACTTCCCTTCTATTGATATGAGTGAGGAAGGTGGGGTATATTATTCCCCCCCCCCCCTTCCCTCTCCAACTACACATATGAGATAGAGATAGATAACTCATCA